CCCCCCCCCCGGGACTCTGGGAGTTGTAGTCCCTCCCCAAGATGCAATGGCCAGGCGAAGAAGAGGATGCTAGGAAGGCGGAGCGGCTGCGTCCTTGGCGGGGATTGCTGGAGGCCGGGGGCAGGCGGGGCTCTGGGTTCCAATCCGGCTCCTCCTCCTCCTTCTTCGCCTTCTCTTCTACGTCGCTGCCTTTGCTTTCCCTTCCTGCTGCCTCGCCCCGAAGAAGAAAGAGAAGGAGAAAAAGAAGGAGAGAAGGAGAGCAGCGCAGGTGGGTCGCCTCTTCCTCCTTTGCCCCAAAGCCCTTGGAGCCTGCAGAGCCTGGGACTGAAGGGGGGGGTGCATCTGCACTGCAGGCGCCATGCGCTTCCATACCGCTTTAAACTGCTGCATCCTATGAGATTTGCAGGGTTTGGGGGCTTTTTCTTTTTATCCAAGGTCTTTCCAGCATGAGGTAGTTAGTAGCCCTTTGAGTGTTGCACGACCATTCTGGAGACCCTTTTTTTTAACAACCCCCTGGGTGACCTTGGGTGAGTCACACTCTCTCAGCCTCAGGGGAAGAAGGCCCTCTCTGGGGAGGAGGAATGGCCATGAAAACCTTAGGATAGAGGTCACCATGAATCAGAAATGGAGGGACGCAGCAGCAACAACAACAACAAGGTCTTGGGCCTTCCCTGCCTCAGAGTGAACTACAGATCCCAGGGTTCCTTAGGATGGAGCCCTCTGAAGAAATGGGCTGAGAAAACCCTAGGAGAGAGTCCCTACAATTCCCAAATGATTTGGGAGGGCCACAACAAGGACAACAAGGTCTTGGGCCTTCTCTGCCTCAGAGTGAACTACAGATCCCAGGGCTCTGTAGGATGGAGCCTTGCAAGTTCAAGCAGTGCCAAACTGGCTTTCTCTCTCCAGTGTAGATGCACCATCGAGGCCTCTCTCTTTTCCCTTCCCTTCCCTTGCATTCCTCCTTTTTTGCACCCCTCCATATCCTCAAGGTCATTGGTCCAGGATGTCCTCCAAACCCAAGGACACTTTGATTTTCTAAATTAAGGAGGCAATTAAGGGAGGGGAAAAAGAAGGAGGGATGCTTTCCTCCCTTTTCAAGAAGTCAAAGAACTTCTTTGAACCCTTTTCTCCCCCATCCCTCTTCCAGATGGCCTAACCTCAGCGGAGGACAAGGGCTTGCAAAATGTAGGACATGGAAAGGCACATGGAGGACCTTGCCTCCTATAAAAAGCTGAAAACACTCATAGAAATAGCAATCCAGACTTTTATTAGCTGTCTGATTCTCAAGGTCAGTGGTCCAGGATGTCCTCCAAACCCAAGGATGCTTCTCCTTTAAAATGATGCAAATAGGAGAGCAAAAGAAGAAGGGAGGAAAAGAGAAGAAGGATGGACAAGGGACTGGAAAATGGAGGACGTGGGCGAAAAATGGAGGACCTTGCCACCTGGAGTTCTGGATGTTATTGTACAGAAATAAGGGAAGGATTGGTGGCTTCTTCTCTGACCTATCCAAGCTCCTATTTACACTCCTTTGTAGGCTGAGGGTGCATCCGCACTGTAGAAATAATGCAGTTTGATACCACTCTGAAGTGCTGTCTCTCCATCCTATGCTAATCCTGGGATTTTTAGTGTTGCCACGGGGTTTGAGTGTTGGACTACTGCTTTGGAGACCAGGGTTCGATTCCCGGCCTGGCCTTGAAAGCCCCACTGGGTGACCTTGGGTGAGTCACATACTCTCGGCCTCAGGGGAAGGCAATGATGGCACACCTCTAAACACATCTGGCCAAGAAAACCCCACAACAAAGTCGGCAGAGTGGGTTTGAGACTGCGACTCTGGAGACCAGGGTTCGATTCCCTGCTTGGATGTATAAAAACCCACTGGGCGACCTTGGGTTAGTCACACTCTCTCAGCCTCGGGAATGCAGTGCAAACCTCTGAACAAATCTTGCCAAGAAAAGCCCATGATAGCTTCCCCTTAGAGCTGCCAGAAGTCGTAAATGATTCAAAAGGCACAGAGCAGCAACAACAACAAGGCCCTTGAGTTTTCTCTGACAAAGAACTGCAAATCCTGGGTTTTTGCAGGATAATAATAATAATAATAATAATAATAATAATAATAAATTTTATTTATATCCCGCTTCTCTGCATAGCAATCGAAGCGGTGTACATCAATTAAAAAGAACAAGTTAAAATCACAACCCTGACCCCAACCCTCCCCCCCCCATAAAACAGAATTAAACTAAACTAATTAATGAATTATTTAATTAACTAATAGAGTTAAAGTGGTGTCAATCTGCATTGTTTCTGCAGTATAGATGCGCACCCTGGGGGGGGGAACCTCTTAGATGGGAAAGCAAAGAGAAGGGCCCTATTGAACAAATCAGGTGGGGAATCGTGCATCACAATTTTTTACTAATTTTTACTCCTGATTCTTAGAGGCGAATTTGGAAAAAGCAAAATCATCGTAGCATTTTCTTGGAGCCCGTCTCTTTGGTTCCAGGGATCTCCCAGTTTCAGCAGATCCAGGAAGGTTGGTTCCCATTCATTCTGCTTTGCAGAGTCACAAGACAAGGAAAGCCAGCCGTGCGAAAGAAACACGTGGCTTTCTTTTTCTTGCACTAAAAATGTGGGGAGAGGAGCACAAGAGGACGCATTTCCGGTTGCCACCCAGAAGAGGCCACATACATGCGCTGGCCACAGCTTCGGAAAGTCATTTTCTTGGGAGGAAGAAATCATTTATTTACTTTTTTGCAGGGAGAAATCATTTTTGGAGACTACAACTCCCACAATCCTGGTTGGGGGATTCTGGGAGTTGGAGTCCCCTAAGTGATTCATTCACTTAACAACAACCAAACCGTCTTTGGATTCATCCTGCCTGATTTGCTCGTTCTGGGACTCAAGAGTTTATCATCCAAAATACACTGCAGAAATAATCCAGTTTGAGACCACTTTTAACTTCCCTGGGTCAGGGCTAGGGAATCCTGGGAATTGTAGTTTCTTGTGGCACCAGAGCTCTCTTGACAGAGAAGGCTAAATGTCTGACAAAACTGCAGTTCCCAGAATTCCTTAGCATTGAGCCAGGGCAGTTAAAGCGCTCTCAAAGTGGATTATTTCTGCAGTGTGTTTTGGACGTATGCATCTACACTGTAGATAGAGATAATTCAGATCGATACCACTTTTAAGTGCTGTAGCTCCATCCTGTGGAATCCTGGGATTGGTAGTTTGTAAGGTTTTCTCTGCCAAAGAGTGCTGGTGCCTCACAAAACTACAGATCCCAGGGTGGCACAGTAGCAGTGAAAGTGGTGTCAAACTGCATAAAGATTATTATTATTATTGTTGTTGTTGTTGTTGTTGTTGTTATTATTATTATTATTATTATTTTCTAGAGTATGGATGTACCCGCAACCTATCAAGGCGTGTAGAAGCTTGGAGAGCAAGCCACCAATCCTTCATTTATTGCTGTACAATAACATCCAATATCCCCAAAAGAGTGATACCTTAAACCGGCCAAGCAAAATGCACAAAATACATATTGCAAAGCTTTCAAAGCTCCACTGGCTTCGTCATCAGGCAAAGGTTTTTAAAACCATACAGGATGAAAATATGTATATAAAACGATATTAATAATTAATTTTTGATTTTTGTTCTCCTGTATGATTCTTAATACTTTTGCCTGATGAAGAAACCAGTGGAGCTTTGAAAGCTTGCATCATGTATTTTGTGCAATTTTGTTTGGCTGATTAAAGGTATCACTCTTTTGTGGATTTTGGATGTTATTGTACTTTGCTATATAGCCAACATATGTTTCCTTTATTACTGTTACTGTGTGCCTTCAAGTGGCTTCCCACCTAGGACAGCCCTAAGGCGAACTTATCATGGGGATTTCTTGGCCAGATTTCTTTATGGAGGGTTTGCTGTTGTTTTCCTCTGAGGCTGAGAGAGTGTGACTTGCCCAAGGTCACCCA